TTCCCTACCCATGTTATTTTTCAGGGAGGTTCTTACTTCCTTGCTTAGTTGCCACTAATGCTGCCACTTTCTTAATTGCAGGGGACTTTGGCCAGTCCTCTATCCCTTCCAAGTTCCTTCTTGCCACCTCTGAGGCTTCAACTCACATGACTAAACCCTGCTCCTCTCAGCAACCCCTTTGCTTGAGCTGCATCTTCCAGGCTTGCTATGTGTCTCTCACTTCTCACATACATAATTTTCTGAAATTTTCCCTCCCCTTGGCTCTGTTGGTTCCTCTACAGAAGGAACAACCCCTTCCATCTTACAGGGATTTCTTCCCCCTGGCCCCATTACTTCTGAAAGGAACATGAAAGCTCTTGACTTTGTAATCAAAAGGAAAAAGATACTATTGATCATGTTCTGCTCTTGGTCGACTCATTCAGGTTTGAAGGCGCCATTTTGCTCCTTTGTTTCATGCATGTAAGCTGTTGCGTATCCTCAAACATCCTTGCTGTTCTCTTCCAAACTCTTCCTACATTTACTATAACCCATTTAAGGTGGGAGAGTCCAGAAATGTACACCATTATTCCCGATGAGGACATACTATTGATTTACACATTTTGACCCTTTTTTGAGTTGTTCCTTACACTCTATTGGCCCTCATTACCACATTTTTACACACAGATTTCCAGAGTACATGGTCTTTTTTATTTTATTTGGATAACTTTAAGAATCAATCCTCCTTACTTCGGTTCATCTCCATTACCCTGTTCTTCAATTAAACAGACCTCTTCTAGACTTTTCTCAAGATAGCTGGTAACGGCTCTCTTTACCTTCAGGTATTAAGATACTCCAAAAGATGTGCTGGCATGCAGATCAGATGCCAGCCTGACATATTGCTGGATCACGGAATCTTACCAGTTTTGCTCTTGCTGAGTACAGATTTGGACTGAACATGTATCATAATTATCAAGTAATTGGTCTTCCCCCCCAAACAGTGTAGACAACTATGCGAAATTTTCCTTTTATGGAAAAGGAAAGCACTACAGGCTTCAGAGGAAGTCATCAGCAAAAGACGGAAAATAAAAAGCTCTGTTCTTGCCAGAGACAAGGAAGCAGTCTTACTGAGTAGCTGAGAGGATTGAAATTGTGTCGGATGCACTGTTTTACATACTTATATACTGAAGATGCTCAAGGGCTTCAGCAGGTGGGTGAAAGGCAGCATGCTGTCCATGTAGAGTGCAAGGAGGATGATCTGGTGTTGCGTGGCAAATGGTGTACCCCACCCAGTCTGCAAGCTTCCAAAGATTTTAATTAGTCAGCCTGTGGCACGCTTTAGCTGGTCAGCCAGCTCCAGAACTAGTCACAATCACTGCCGCTTTCTACATCTCTCCTCATCTAAAAGGAGAGTAAGATGGTGCTTTCAATGTATAACCCTGTTCTAATTATTTAGCTATGAACAAGTCTCACTTCTAATAACACGAATGAAAAAATAATGAACACCATGCTGTACGCTTACTTAAAGACATCCTAAAAAACCTCAACTGACTCATAGCAAAAAAACCACACTCCACAAAGACATCCAGTTTAGTTCGTATTTCCAGAAGGAATGGAAAGTCTAGCATTTTACTTTTTGCAGATGGTTTATACTGATGTTATTTTCAGCAAAAGCATGTGTTTAAAAATTACCATCA